TCATAAGCCAGCAGATGAGTACATCATGGAGAGAGCTTCTGGTGGCTCAAGGTTGGGTTGGAAATTCCTGAGGTTTGGAGGCTGCTGGATATGGTAACCAATTAGCTATAGGCTTCGACATTCAAACATGGAATCACAAAATGTTAGAGCTGAGATGATCTTAGCAATCATGTTCTCACGGTTCCCAAGCCAAGGAGCTTTAAAAAAAAATACACATTTCCTAGTTTAAACCCCAGAACTTCAGATTCCCTAGCTCTGAGGTAGGGAATCTGATACAGCCCAAATAATTCATTTTGCAGATAAGAAAACTGAAGTACAGAGAGAGGTTAAGTGTCTTAACTGGAGTCACACAACAAATTAATGGTCAAATCTAGATTGATATGCATTTGTCCTGACTCCTCCTGAAGTGTTTTGCATTTATCTGGACAACAGAACTGATTGTGACTCATACATAAAGCTTTGTCCTGGGATTTGGAGCTAAGATTTCTGAAACAAGATCCCTGCTCTTGAGCTCCCAGTCTAGTGGGAGAACACAGCATACAAGATAACAATGATATTGCGGTGTGGGTAAACTATGAACAAGGAGTTACTGAGGCCCTCTTGTTAGCCTGGTACTATTCCTGGAGAGAGCATGCAGGCTGGAAAAGACAGACCTAGCTCCTACTGGCATGGAATTTCAATTCTTGTAGGGGCATAAGTTTTTTTTTAAAGATTTTTATTTATTTGTCAGAGAGAGAGGGCACAAGCAGGGGGAGCAGCAGAGGGAGAGGGAGAAGCAGGCTCCTCACTGAGCAAGGAGCCTGATGTGGGACTCGATCCCAGGACCCTAGGATCATGACCTGAGCCGAAGGCAGATGCTTAACGACTGAGCCACCCAGGCGTCCCGGGGCATAAGTTTTTAAAACAACATATTTTGAGACCATAATGTGAGCTAAGACACAGTCATATAAGATGAGTAACAAGATGGTTGCTAGCTGGTGCAGTAGTGAGGAGGGAGGGATGGGCTTCATTATATCAATGGCCAGACAAGGTCTCTCTGGAGAAGAAATGCAACACAAGACACAAGAGAGCCAAATCAAAGCCCACAGTGTTTTGCAAATGGTGGCTGGAATGGATTTTTTAAAAGATTTATTTCTTTATTTTAGAGACAGGGAGACAGAGAGAGTGAGAGAGTGTGCATGAGTGGGCAGGGGGACGGGCAGAGGAAGAGGGAGAGACAGAATCCTCAGACTCCCCACTGAGCATGGAGTCCAACATGGGACTCGATCCCAGGACCCTGAGATAATAACCTGAGCTGAAGGCAGATGCTTAACCTACTGAGCCACCCAGGGGCCCCCTAGGAATGTGTTCTTTATCTCATGTGCGGTGCAGCTGATAAAGTCTGCAGCATGGAAATGGCATGCTCAGGTTTGCTTTTTAGGAAGATGCTTCTAGAGGTTGGAGATGGGGAGATTATTCTTTGAGGGAAAGGAAAGAAAGGTGAAGGGGAGACCACATCTCAAAAGGCAGTTGCTGATCCTGTCTTGTTCCTCGACCATAGTCCTTGTAAGAAGAGTCACCCGTTGTCACCAATGGGGATAAACAGTGCAGTGACTCTAGTCCCCGTGCCTGGCTCTCTTCAAGGTGCTCCACCATCTCATGAAGCCTCTCCTCCCCTGAGCGTGCTCTCCTCTCAACAGGTCAACCACCAGTACTCTGGTCCCCACCTGGGTAAACTGGTCTGGATAGACCTTCCCACCCTGCATGGCTCTGCAGCCTCCTGTCCAAGCCTGATCTCTCCATGGTTTTAGGGATTCTACCTCTTCCTACTTCCTCACTCTCACTTGTACTTGACCTGCCAACCTGCTCACTCATTCCCCTCACAGCTGAATGGTGTCTAAGCTCTGCCTTTGTCAACAAATGCTCAAACTCTGGCTTCCCTGCACAGTGTAGCCTGTGGACTACAGGTCTTGTCCCCACCCCTCACATTCCTTCCGTTACTTCCTTTTCTTGTGCTGCTCCCTGTCAGCTAACCCCCGGCCCCCCACACAAGCTGATCTGATCTATTGGAGCCAAACCTAGAGGACACTTCTCAGTCCTTTTCATGCCAACTCTATAGCTTCTGATGCTGACATCCCATTTTTGCCTCCAGACTTTCTCTGTGCTTAGTATCAGGATGGTCTCCGTGTTCTGTTTCTTTTCTTCCTTTTGGGTTTATTCTTTTTCATTTCAGCCTTGGCCCTGACCCAACCTCTCTGGGCTGGTATTCTTCAAGGAAATCTGTCTGCCCTCTCCTTGCAGCTTACAGATGCTCCTAGCTTGAACTCTTCTCCATGCCATTGACCCCCAGAAGCCTTTCTGAGTCACCCGGCTGCCTTTGTAGTGCTCCAACTGGGGCCCCAAAGACACCTCAAGTTCAATGTTTCTGTTAGAGAAACATTACTTGGGGTGCCTGGGTGGCTCAGTCGTTAAGCATCTGCCTTCAGCTCAGGTCTTGATCCCAGGGTCCTGGGATCGAGCCCTGAGTCAGGCTCCCTGCTCAGCAGGGAGCCTACTTCTCCCTCTACTTGCCACCCCCCTGCTTGTGCTCTCTCTCTCTCTGGCAAATAAATAAATAGAATCTTTTAAAACATTTTTTTAAATTAAGAGAAACATTATTTATTAATAAAAAATTATAGATACTAAAATTTCTCCTTCCTGCATCTGAAGATGTTAGAGATATGGGGTGTGTGTGTGTGTGTGTGTGTGTGTGTGTGTGTGTGTGTGTGTTGGAAACTGGTCGGAAATGAAGAATTTTATAAGATGAGGAAACCCCAGTATGTATTTATGAGAAAAAAATGAAGATTCCTGGAAAGAAAGATTCTGGGAAGGTTGGCAGTGGAGGCAGGGGGTCACAGGAAGGGCCAGGGAAGGCAGGGAGGGTGAGGAGAGGAACTTGCTTGGCTGGTTAGATGTGGAAAGAGAGGGAGATTGATTCTGTGGGCTTCCTAAAGAACATGGATATTGTGGGAAGGTTTTTAAAGGGCCAAGTGACATTTCATGTAACTTTTCTTCCTTTTTTCCCCTTTCTTTTCTTTCCTTCTCTTTTCTTGCATCCTCCTGTAATTGCTTATTTGCATGTTTGTGTTGACAAAGACTCTCTCCCTGACCAAATTTTAGTCAGGCTTCTCTGAGACCTCTTCTCCACTAGGCCTCAAACCCCTCCCCAGTTGTATGTCTGGTCTTACTAGCCCAGTCTTAGCAAAGAGCCCTGTTAAGTCATCCTCCTACCCTCAATATCTAAGTCCTTGACTCACCTTGAGCAAGAGCTCTGTTAGGTCAGTTTAGTAAGAATCCCTCTACTTTGATGTTTCCTTGGTAACTTTCCAGCCCCTGAACCCTCTCACCTTGCTCCTTGGCTATATCCTCCCCTGTTCTTATTGTCTTCTGAGTTGAGCTTGATTTCTCTCCCCTATTGCCATAGTCTTGAATAAAAGTCTTTCTGACTATTTCAATCAGTGTCAGAATAATTTTTTATTTCACAAAGTTCTTCATATTGTGACAGATGTTTGAGGACAGGGATCATACTGTTTATTTTGTCCCACCCTCCCCCAACTTTAAAGAGTCTGAGAGAGCATGGGAGTGTTTTAGGGGGAATTTTTAGGCAAAGTTCAGGGGTAAGTCTTCTCATTCCCATAACCCCAAAAGTAACACACAGAGTAATATCGAGTACTTTTTATGTTAGTGATGATAGTTCAGGACTCTAAAAGGACAGATGAAACAGTCATATAGCAAAATTACTTTTATTTTCTGCTCAAGACAACATTAATCAATAACCAAATATTACACACTATTCTGGACTTTCCAAATTCTTATGTTGAAATTCTAACCTTTAAAGATGATACCACTAATGATGGTATTAGGAGGTGGGGTCTTTGGAAGTTGCTTAGGTCATAAGGGTAGAGCCTTCATGAATAGGATTTGTGTTTTTATAAAAGAAACTCCAGAGAGATCTCTAGCGACTTTTACCACATGAGGACATAGTGAAAAGGCACCATGCACTAGATAGAGGGCCTTCAGCAGAATACCACCATGCTGGTGACTTGATCTTGGACTTCCCAGCCTCCAGAACTGTGAACAATAAATTTCCATTGTGCATAAACCACCCACCATGTGGTATTCTGGTATACCAGCCCAAATGGACTAAGACACCCACGCAGTATCCTTATCGCTCATTTCTTACAAATGGTTTGAAAATTCCAATGGCCACCCTATCAATAAGGGAGACAAAAGTGCCACGAACACAGGCCAGATTCTCGTTCTCTCTCTTCAGGTGATCTTGCTCCCTCACCTTTTCTATTTCAGAGGATTGTTTTGTCCCCCATCCCCAGCCCCCCTTCACTTTAAAGAGCCTAAGACAGTATTGGAGTGTTTTAGGGCAGATTTTTAGATAAAGTTCCTTATTCCTACAACCAACCCCAAGAGTGATACACAGAGTAATACAGTACTATTGCTATCCAGTTGTCCAAAAGGACAACTTTTCCTATCTTATTTGTGGAACAGAGAGTCTATTCTCTAATAGTTCATACAAATAATAAAGTAAATAAAACAGACATGTGGACATTCTCAAATTTTATACGTATGAACTATGGCATGGGGTTCCGGAACTGTGGTGATCCTGACATTTTTAATCAACTCGGGTCACCTTTTCAGGAAGAGTTTCATTTAACTTTTTCCAAATCACTCATGGAAATATACATGCTAGGTGATAACATTAAGAGGAAAAAAAGAAGAAAAAGAAGAATTCCTTGAAGAAATGGCACCAAAAGAACACGCGGTATAGTGCAGAGGTCCAAGTGGTTACCATGAGCTTGAGACACTCTCCCTCCCATAGATGTAGAAGAAATGACACATACCATTGTGGGCATGGGAAGGTGCATTTGGGTAGGACCCGCCCCTTTCAAAGCTTCCTGTGTGACTTACATTTTGATCACTGGTTCTAATTTCTTCATTTCTCATTTCTTGACTTCCAGAAATGAAGACGATTCTCAGGGAGGAGCTCTGAAACACAACGTACCGCAGCCTGTCAACAGAGCAAATTCACTGAAGTGATGACAGGACCCAGGGAGAACAATGCTTTATTTGAGCTGGATATTTCTTTGGCTTGTCACAAGAGAGAGAATTAAAGGAATGACTATTTCAGGTAGGGTTTCACTTTTCATGTTAACATTGTGAGTCTTGTGGTCAGAGTTTAAAGTGACAGATAATCTGATATATCAGCAGCTTGACTTATTAATACAGAGCATTTCCTTCCTACTGTTGAGATGGGTGCAGGAAGAGAGAAATTACTGGGGTGAACAGCTTTCTGCTGATACCAAGCATCAATGAGGAGCCCAGTTATGGTAGCTGGGTGTTCAGTGGGAGCAGCTGAAGAGGAATGAGGCTCAAGTCCATTGGGAGGGAGTTAAAACATGACCTTCTAAATGGAAACAGTGAAGAAGACAGACAAGGGAGCTTAATTCCTCATTAAATCATATGCTCTTTGTAAACGTAAGTTAGAGTTTGATCTTTTTCTCCTCCACTTTTGTTGAGATGTAAGTGACAGACAGCACGGCACAAATTTAAGATGCACAGCAAAATGATTTGACTTACAAGTAGAGTGAAATGATTACTACAGTAAGCTTAGTTAATATCCATTATCTCATATAGCTACCCCAAAAAAAGGACAAAAAAAAAAAGAAGCTTCCTCATTTTTTAGTTGTGATAAGAACTCTTAGAACCCACTTTCTTAACAACATTCAGATCTATCATACAGTAAGTAGTGTTAACTATAGTCATTGTGTTCTCCAGTACATTCCCAGTACTTCTGTATCTTATAATTGGAAGTTTGTGCCTTTTGACCACCTTATCCAATTTCCCCACTCCCCACCCAGCCTCAGGTAACCACAAACCTGATCTCTTTTTTTTTCTATTATTTGTTTTATTTTTTCATGGTTGGACACTGAAAATAATACTAGATAGTTTTATTTGTTCAGTTTCTTTTCTTTCTTTTTTTAAAAAAGATTTTATTTATTTATTTTTATTTGAGAGAGAGAGAATGAGAGAGAGAGAGAGCATGGGGGGGGAGGGTCAGAGGGAGAAGCAGACTCCTCACTGAGCAGGGAGCCTGATGTGGGACTCGATCTCAGGACTCCAGGATCATGACCTGAGCCAAAGGCAGTTGCTTAACCAACTGAGCCACCCAGGCTCCCCTTTTCTTTCTTTCTTTCTTTTTTAATGTTACTAAATTTCACTTTCTTTTTCTTTCTTTCTCTATTTTTATTATGTTTATAAGTTTGTTTTTTGTTTTTTTGTTTGTTTTTTTTTTTTGAGACTCCACATATAAGTGACATCATATGGTATTTGTCTCTTCGTCTGACATTTCACTTAGCATAATGCCCTCAAGGTCCATCCATGTTGTTGCAAATGGCAGGATTTCCTCCTTTTTTATGGCTGAATAATATTCGCGTGTGTGTGTCCAACTTCTTTATTCATTTATCTGTTGATGAACACTTAGGTTATTTCCATATCTTGACTATTGTGAATAATGCTGGTGTGAACATAGAGGTGCAGAATATCTCTTCGACATAGTGTTTTCATTTCCTTTAGATATATTCTCAGAAATGAAATTTCTGCATCATGTGGTAGTTCTATTTTTCATTTATTTGAGGAGCCTCCATACTGTTTTTCCATAATGGATATACCAATTTATAATCCCAACAGTGCCCAAGGGTTCCCTTTCCCCACCCCCTTGCCAGCATTTCTTATCTCTTGTCTTTTGTTGATAAGCCATCCTACCAGGTGTGAGGTGATATTTCACTATGGTTTTGATTTGCAGTCCTTTAATGATTAGTGATGTTGGGCATCTTTTCACGTACCTGTGGTTCAATTATATATGTTCTTTGGAAAATGCTTATTCAGATTCATTGCCCATTTTTAATTGGCTTATTCGGGGGATTTTGTTTGTTTGTTCTTGTTTATTTGTTGATTTTGCTTTTGAGTTGTATGTGTTCTTTATGTATTTTGGATGTTAATCATATATTTTATTAGATACATGGTTTGAAAATATTTTTTCCCATTCTGTAGATCATCTTTACATTTCGTTGATCATTTCTTTTGCTGTGCAGAAGCTTTTTAGTTTGATGTAGTTCTACTTGTTTATTTTTTTTAAGATTTTATTTATTTATTTGGGAGAGAGAGAGAGATCATGGGTGGGGGGCGAGGGGTGGAGGGACAAGAAGACTCCCTGCTGAATGGGGAGCCCGATGTGGGACTCGATCCCAGGACCCTGAGATCATGACCTGAGCTGAAGGCAGACGCTTAAACGACTGAGCCACCCAGGCACCCAACACTTTTTTATTTGGTTGCTTGTGCTTTAGATGTCATGTCCAAAAACTCATTGCCAAGGGAGAGTTTCATCTTCTAATGCATCTCTCTGTTGCTTTGTTTCTTGTGGTTTTCAGATTGCTTCACCAAGAAACTGCTTTGGGAATATTCTTCAATGAGTGAGCAGTTTGTCTTATTTTGTGGCTTAACGGAGTCGTGCCACAGAAGTCAACTCTCACCAACCCAAGGCTCTGAAAACTTGCCCTACAGTGGTCATAAGGACTTACCTGATGTCCAGTGGTACTTACAACCTCAAAATGGAGATCCATTACGGGAACTAACTAACAACTCTGCTCACATCATCCAGAAGAGCACCCTACACTTTTTGACGACAGGAATACATAATGCTGGGTCATATATCTGTAGACCCAGGATTAGGTACGTCCCAAGTGCATTCTTATATGAAAACATTCCCAAATCCTATATTACCTGGATATAACATCTATGTTCACAGGACCTTGTTAACTCTCCTAGGAGCCCTCGGGATGAGCCCTGTTGTGTCAAGACCATCTTAGAAGTTAAGCCTAAGACAAATCTATCCTGTATACCAAATAACTCTGTATCACATGAGCAATACCTTCTTCTTGGTAGCATTGACTATATTCATTGCCCTAGCTTCAACTGCCAAATTGACGCACAAAGTCCAAATGTGACCTGGTACCAGGTAAGAATGACTTCTCCAAAACTGATGTGAAGTATGGTTTTTATGGTAACATCCTATAGGGGCTTTATAGAAACATGGGTTAGAGAATCTGAGGCCTAGAGCTTCGCAAATACTGACCTTGTGCCTATAAAGAAGACCTGACCTTCTAAAGTGGTCTTTCTCCCAGGGAGCCACAGAGTGTGATATTGCAAGTAGGAGAACCGTCTTTTTTTTTTTTTTTAAGATTTTATTTATTTATTTGAGAGAGAGACTGAGATAGAGAGAGCATGAGAGGGGGGAGGGTCAGAGGGAGAAGCAGACCCCCAGCTGAGCAGGGAGCCCGATGCGGGACTCGATCCCGGGACTCCAGGATCATGACCTGAGCTGAAGGCAGTCGCTTAACCAACTGAGCCACCCAGGCACCCGAGAACCGTCTTTTTGATCAGTGCTAGCAAAATTTCTAAAAGTTAAGTGCATTACGTATGAAGTAAGACATAAACTTACGAACATCCGCTAGTGCAGAAGACCAGCTGAATTCATTTCTATTGTCTTTGGAAAGCAATGGGCACTATTGGGGGAAAGGAGACACCAACATATGAGGCCTGGAGGGTTTATGAGCAAAATAAGAGACTGGAATGCTTTCCAAAGAGAGCACGTCTGGGAGGACATTTATGGCAAACATAGGTGGCCCAGGTGACAGGTATCCTGCACAGATGAGAGCGGGGCGGGGGGCGGGAAGTCAGTAAAGAGGAAAGGGGGTGGGAGCAAGGAAGAGGCAAATTTCCTAATGATTTTGAGTTATGAACCACATGTGAGTAAGCTTCATAACAAAAACACTTCACATTGCCATGGCGTCTTACAGTTTTTCAAAGTGCTAACAGATATATAAATGCCACATAAACATCTCCTTCAACATAGCCCCATGGTAGTTGACCTCTGGGCGGTGGAAACAAAATAGAACTTAAATTGCCTCCTACACTTGTAATACTTGTTGGAAGTCCAATACTTTGCCGTAAAAAGTCATGTAAAACGTTAAATTCGACTTCAAACCATGTTTGTTGATATGAAAATATCATTTTAAATTGCCACTGATCAGTCACGCAAGTGGCCCATATCTAGCTGGTGGCCCTGCACAGTCCAAGACTCAGCAATCAGAGAGCCATGGTGGTCCAACCCCTGTGGTGTGAGAAGCCATTTCCTCACTTGATTACCTTGACGCTTGGTGACAATGGGTAGACGGGAGTTATCATGTCCGCTATAGAAATAAGTGTACAGAGGGAACAAGTGACGAGATGTGCTGTAGGTCTCACATTTGTATTTTAAAGTGACACTGAAAAAATGCTGGCCTCAATAAAATCCTAACTTAAGAAACACATTAATTTCATAACCTCTAAAATGAGGTTAGCCAGAAAAGCCCATGATTCTGTTCATTATTTTCAGTTCCCTTTTTTTAATTAAAGATTTTACTTATTTATTTGATAGAGAGAGAGAGAGAGAGGGTACAAACAGGGACAAGGGCAGAGGGAGTGGGAGAGGCAGACTCCCTGCTGAGCAGGGAGCCCCACACGGGACTCGATCCGAGGACCCTGGGATCATGACCTGAGCCAAAGGCAGACGCTTAATGACTGAGCCACCCAGGCGCCCTTATTTTCAGTTCTCGTAAGAACAAAACTTCCTTTGGTTCAAAAATATTTGTGGTCTGGGATGACAGATATCCTGCTATGTCAACGGAGGCTGTTCTTAGGCCAGTAAGGCAGGCTTGCCCCCAGCCATTTCAGATCAAAATGCATTTAAATTTTCAATGATTATATCCCTGAAATGAAGACTATTTTCACGCTCAGGTAAACAGAAACCACACAATAGTTGTCAGCTTTCTGCATATATATTGCTCTTGTAAACTAAACCCTAACAGTGTATGACATTCACAGAAGGAGGCTCTGGGGTCTTGACTGCAAAGGTCAGCCTGTTTTTAGTGGTGAATAAGCATCTGTCCTAAAAGTGGGCAAACAATGGCTCTTGTTAAAATTGTACTTTCGGGGCACCTGGGTGGCTCAGTCGTTAAACGTCTGCCTTCGGCTAGGTCATGATCCCGGGGTCCTGGGATCGAGCCCCGCATCAGGCTCCCTGCTCCGTGGGAAGCCTGGTCTCCCTCTCCCACTCTCCCTGATTGTGTTCCCTCTCTCGCTGTCTCTCTCTCTGTCAAATAAATAAATAAAATCTTTAAAAATAAATAAATAAATAAAATAAAATTGTACTTTCTAGGGGCGCCTGGGTGGCTCAGTCAGTTAAGCATCTGCCTTCGGCTCAGGTCATGATCCCAGGGTCCTGAGATCGAGCCCCGCCTCAGGCTCCCTGCTCAGCAGGGAGTCTGCCTCTCCCTCTCCCTTTGCCCCTCTCCCATCTCATACTCTCTCGCTCACTCTCTCTCTCAAGTAAATAAATATTAAAAAATAAAATAAAATTGTACTTTCTGATGCAGACTTGGATAGGTTATCATTCAAGTTATGTTTCCCAATTGCATGTATGTTTGCATGTGCATATACACACACCTGCACACACACATATATGCACACATACATGCGTGCAGTAACCTGAGAAGTCACAGACCTCACGGAAGGAGTGTATCACTAGAAGTCGTGACATTAGGCAGCAAATAATACCCAGTGCTCTCCGGTACTCGAGTGGTGGGTGGGTCACGCCTAAGCCATCTCAGAATAGACGGCAGAGGCTAACACTGGCTAAGCAGATGTTGTATTCAGATGAAACTCCCGACCAGGGACTCCTCTGCCAGATGTATAGAATATCCCACTGAAATAAATCCAGGGGCTCGAGGCTCTGGGGGCTTTTGGAAGATTTTTAATAGACACGTCAAAAAATTTAGGCTTGGAGATTCTTATTTATTTATTTATTTATTTATTTATTTATTTATTTATTTAATTTTATTATGTTATGTTAATTACATCATTAGTTTTTGATGTCGTGTTCCATGATTCATTGTTTGCGTATAACACCCAGTGCTCCATGCAGAGGCTTGGAGATTTTTATTTGAAATATTAAATGGCCAAGAAGTCAGAATTAGAGTGAATTATCTGTTCTTTACTCAAAGAACATTTTCTCCATATTTTGCCAATTTCTAAAAATATAGTAAAGAAATAGCCTACACAGACTTTTAAATAAATGAGAATTACAGGGACACCTGGGTGGCTCCGGCGGTTGGGTGCCTGCATTTGGCTCAGGTCATGATCCCAGGGTCCTGGGATCGAGTCCCGCATCGGGCTCCTTGCTGGGCGGGGATCCTGCTTCTCCCTCTGCCTGCCGTTCCCCCTGCTTGTGCTTTCTCTGTCTCTGTCTCTCTCGCGTGCTGACAAATAATTAAATGAAATCTTTAAAAAATAAATAAATAAATGAGAATTACATTTAATGAGAGGGCGTTTTACATTCTCTCGCTAAGCAAACCTTTGACATGGGCAAAATTATAACAGGGCAGCGGGAGAGGTCCTTCCACGATGGCATTGAGACACAGTTATCAGCGACACTGCTGTGACCTCTTGTCAGTTAGATTTGTGCCCCAAGCAACCTTTCCACTGGTGGCTTAAGACAGTCTCATGCATATGCCACACTCACTGACCACGATGCTGACGTGGCTGGTGCATCTCCTCTGAGCCCTGCGTTCCATGGAATGTATGCACTCAGACCTGCCGCTTCTCCTTCGCACTTCTCCGTGGCCTCCTTTTCTCACGGTCACTAGTCCTGTCTGGTATTCTGTGAGCCTAGTGACCCAGACACCTGGTGAGTTGGTGAGACTGGCTCAACCAAAGATCAGTGTGGTTCCAAGTACAGAAGAAGGAAAGATCATTTCAATTTGATTTCTGAAAAACATTCTCAAGGTCGGTACATTGGCCCATTCGGTTGTTCTCACTGAGCAATTTCAGAGTGCTCATAATCCTGCACAACTTCCTAACGTCTGTACAATGCTATAACCCACAGGTTGCCTAACCAATAGTGAAAACAGAGAAACTGTTTTCTTCCTTGTTCTGAGCAGTATATCAATGCGGTCTATGATTGCATCAGCTTTGGGGCGGCTCCATTATGTGGTTGATTCATTCTTAGTTGGTAGGTAGAGGTTTTTTTGTTTGTTTCTTTTTGTTTGTTTGTTTGTTTTCACAAGAACAGTGATCAAGCCAATTCAGCTTTTGCTAATAGAGTAGAATTTGTAACCCACATTCATGGTTTTACATTTATTCTAATTAAATTCTGATTTTTGTTGGTTTTAGCTCATCATTCTACACATCAAGAGGTTGGAATTGATTTTGAAATCCACCATATTAAGCCATCCACTCCCAGACTTGTGTGACTTAAGGATGAGATGCAGGCATGATAGGTCTTAGCAAAAATATTGAACAGCCTGGCATTGAACTGCCAGTTCTGTCAGCTATTGACTCTAGCATGATCCCATGATCCCTTAATCCACAACTTGGGGAGTATTCCTGCTCAATTAACTTAAAAAGGGCACCCAAATGGTGACTCATTCAGCCCAGGTATATCTATTTTACTTAACAAAGACCTCATCAACATGTTTTCCCAATGACTCACTACAGTGAAGACAGAACATCTACTGTATTCCTGTATTCCTCTGAGCCTCTTGTCTATTCATTTTATCATACATTTTCTTTTTTAAGGGCTCATAAGTCATCTGTCCAATAATCCATTCAAGACTTTGGCTAAAGATGAACATCTAGCTCATCGGTCTATATTTTTCATAATGTACCCTTTTCCACTTAGAAGATAAATACGAGGGGCACCTGGGTGGCTCAGGCATTAAACATCTGCCTTCAGCTCAGGTCATGATCCCAGGGTCCTGGGATCGAGCCCCGCATCGGGCTTCCTGCTCGGCGGGAAGACTGCTTCTCCCTCTCCCACTGCCCGTTTGTGTTCTCTCTCTCGCTGTGTCTCTGTCAAATAAATAAATAAAATCTTTAAAAAAAAAAGAAGATAAATACGAGTGCAAAATTTATGTTTAAATAGAATGTGGTCGGTTGATGATTAGAGTAAGAGACAGAAGCTGCAGGAAAAGGCAGATGGGCAACAGAAAACAGAAGCACAAGGGGCACATTCTGTGAATGGTGAGTGGCTCAACATGGTGGGAGTGGAGAGTTCCTGAGAGGTTTTAGGGTTAGGGCTGAAAACAAAGGCTGTAAGTTGGTTATGTGGTATGGTTATTGGGGGTCCCTATTGGTATGATTGAACTTTACAAGTGTGAATCCTGATCCAGGGAACTAGCTGTGGGGACAGAAAGGAGTTGGTGGATGCTAGTGATATCTTCAAGGAATAAAATACAAGATGAAATACTTTGGGGGACATAAAAGAGATGACTCCTGTTTTGGGTCTTTCTGGCTCAAATATGTTCACAACATTTAGCAAGTTGAGAAAGTAAAAGTGAATTCGATGAGGGATGATAAGAGCTCACATACACAGATCTGGACATAATGTGTCATTAAAACAGACATGGAAATGTCAAGTCCATCAGGGAGGGCAGGGCTTAAGATGTCCATGTTAGGAGTCCTCCCAGACTAGGTAACAAAAGCCCTGGGAGGAGCTCCACTGTGTCTTGGCTGGTAGTATTAGAGCTTGATGACAATAGAGGGTAGTATTTCAATAACTGCTCCTCCTAGAATACATTTTCTTTGTTCTTCTTGCTGCACACATTCCTTTAAAAGTCCCATTTTAGTGTCTTCCTCTTTTCTGCATATCTCTGTTCTGTCTAGGACTTACTGACATTATTCATACAGGTTCACATTGAGATGTTCCTCCTTCCATATTTTGTTCAAGACTGTTTCACAGCTGAGCAAAACAGCCCCGTTAGCACCTCTCTTTCCTACTGGAATCATTTGTAATCATCTTACCAGAATGGGTTTCCCATCATTCTTTACACAAATGCCCTCTCCCTTACCTCTTTTCTTTGATGTTTCCTTTTAGTTCCATCTCATTAAGTCTTAAGAATACATATGAAGTCATACCTTTTTAATTTTTATTTAAGATTTCATTTATTTGAGAGAGAGAGAGAGAGCACACGAGCAGGGGCGGGAGGAGGGGCTGAGGGAGGGGCTGAGGGAGAGGGAGAAGCAGATTCCCTGCTGAGCAGGGGGCCTGACTCGAGACTCGATCCCAGAACCCTGAGATCATGTCCTGAGCCGAAGGCAGATGCTTAACCAACTGAGCCACCCAGGCGCGCCCGTACTTATGTTTTTATGAAAAAAAAAGTCAAGTCCACTTTGTTTTGACCCATCCTCACTGTGGCTCAACTGAGGTCTCAGTCATGACTCTCCGTCCTCTCCCCATTACTTTCTTGGGTGATTCACGACACACTTCTGCTTCAATTTCTGCTCTTTGTATGTGATTATTGTATTCTCTAGAGTTTTATCTCTGAATTTTACCCCATGCTCTGACTCTTCTTTTGAAGGGTCCTTGACCCTTGAGATCAGCTGATTGATATTTAACATTGTCTGCCCCACTTATTTGCCTTCTTCTACTTCCTGCCTGTGGCTGCCCCTCTCTGACCTGCTCTGACCCTCCCCTTAGGCTCCTTGCCAACCTACTGGAAGTCCCTTCTTGGGCCACAGGAACCACACCAGAGACTTGGAGTAGGGGAATCCCTGCTCCTATGAGTTAGCATGGGAAGTAGAAGGGAAATTCCTCAATGAGAACATGAAGCTCAAGAGTCAGAAAAATTCATGTTGACCCTCGGTCCTCTCAGTTGCTAGCTCTGTGATACAGGGCAACACATGAACTCCAAAACCTCAGTCTTCTTGTAGAGTCTGTGCAATCCAATTCAGAGAATCCTTTGAGTGAATCATATGGGATAATACATGAGAAAGAATTTTATAATCTGTATAGGTAAAAAATACTTATTATTTTGTTATTTTTGTTACTTATCTCTTTGTTTTTGACTGCTGTGGTGAGAGATGCACTGAGGGCTATTTGTTGGAGATTGGAAGGCCATGTGCTACATGGAAGTTAGGGGCTACAGAATTATTGGTACAGTGAAACTCAACCATTCAACAGATATTTATCGAGCCCTTACTATGTCCTAGCCCCTAGTGATACAAAGGTGATTACATGAGTCTTAGGCTTCAAAACTTTTCAGTTATGCATACTTTATTCACTCATCATTTACAAAGAGCTTATTCTTGCTAGCTTGCTTGCCATATACTAGAGACACAAAGACCAAGTCCGTCTATGCACGCCAGCCTCTTCACCGTGGCCTTATTTCCTATATCCATGCTCCATTTCAGATGTTTCCAGGATGGAACTTACCTTCAATGGAGTGATTCCTACATATTACTCAAGACTCTGATTAGCCTGGAGGGAGCATCCCTGCTTCCTGTGAACCAAGCCAAGGCTGCCCAAGTGCATCAGACTGGCTTACTGCTCGGGGCCTGCCTTCTTAGACTGAGCACTCTCTCAGTCTCAGAAGGGAGTCATGACTCCATATCCTCTGATGGGAGGGATCTGTGTTTATTCCTGCCAGTGTGTCTAGGAGCAGCTATGTGTCTTGGCACAATGGCTGTCTCAACAACGACATAGAAAGAGGTAACTGTATACATAAATTACAATCAGAGGGCTCTGGGCAATCATGGAGGTCTGGGAGCATGCAGGGACTGGTTTTGCTGGGAGAGTGCCTGGTCACTCCCTCTGTGAGAGTTACCTCTTGAGTTGGAGTTAAAGACTGAGCTGCAGCCTATCCAGTGGTGGGGAAAGTAGTGGGAGAGATGTACGGACACATGGATAGAGAAAGAACATGGTTATTTAGGGAATGGCAAGTGGGTGGAGAGGCAGTAGCAGGAAATGAGAGCAGGAAGGAATGGTAAGTTCAGCCAGGGGAGAACTTTAGACCTTAGCATCCATGATGGATATCCTAAATAAGGGAGAGAAGTGCTCATTATTGCATTTTAGTTTCCACTTGAGTTTGTGTCTTCCATGAGTTCATTGTTTCTCACTCATTAGTCATTCTTTGTCATATCTATGTACACCTGTTTAGTTGTTTACTTAATATTTTTTAAAGATTTTATTTATTTATTTATTTGACAGAGAGAGAACACAAGCAGGGGGAGTGGGAGAGGGAGAAGCAGGCTTCCCGCTGAGCGGGGAGCCCGATGTGGGGCTCGATCCCAGGACCCTGGGATCATGACCTGAGCCAAAGGCAGATGCTTAACTGACTGAGCCACCCAGGCACCCTTTACTTAATATTTTTAATTTAAATTTCACCTTTTTTGAGTTGAATTTATTTAGAGACAAAACTTTATATTAGCCCCGTACACACAAAAAACCTGTGCCAATTTCCATAAATATAAATATACATGGTTTTAAAAAAAATTCATTGAGATATCAGCTCCTTAAAGCACTATGAGTTTTCTAGAATAGTCTCAGAGGCCTGAGTCATGCTTTGGGAAATACGAGGCTAAACAACTCTTTGTGGATCAGTCAGATTTGGTGCCTTGATCTCAACAGATAATGTCATTGTATTTGAAAATGCCCCTCATGAACAAATCAGAATCTTACAAATACAATTTCTGGACAGAAGCTCTTCATAGCTTGTGTGATGCTCTCATTTGTGAAGTTTTTCTGTTGTTATGACTAGTAGTAATAACAATTTTCTGGTTAAAGAAGGTTATTTATTTTTCTTGTCCCTTGGATTAGAATGGAAAGCTACTCCTTAAAGAAAAGAGCAACTCAATCCTGGTGGATGAAGTTTTTGAAGAACAGGATGGCACGTACGTATGTGATTACACTGAGTCGGATAACACAAGTGAGTGGACAGTCAGAGCTGTTGTTCAAGTGACAACCATTGGTAAGTGAGATTTTTGTTTCCAGATCTGGGATTTGAAGCTCCATTACCCAATTAAAGTTACCTTCCTTCGGCTTAGTCCTGGCTTCCTTTTTGGAAAAAAAAAAAAAAAAAAAAAAAATAGTCATGTGAAGCCTTAAAAGCACAAAGACGTTAATTTCCCATTAACCTAGATTCCATCCCTGGGAAAGGCCTAGTTCCGGATCACATTCAAATTGTCGCAAGTTGGGTTTTCCCTGCATTGATCAATCCCTGGTTTGTTTTTGTAATAAGTTAAAAAATTATATGAAATATTTCACACACAGCAATAAATGACACCATGAACCTATCCCCAGCTTTAATACATGTTAATGTCTTTCCACATGCTTAAAATCTTGCTTTTTCTTTAAAGAAACGAAACATTGCAGGGACAGCTTGAGGCCTATGCTCCTATCTCTTCCTGTTCCTTCCCTTCCCAGCAATAGTCCAATCTTGTAGCTTATCTTCTTTCATTTATGTCGTTATACTTTTCTACAAACATATGTAGACATTAATAAAATGGAACATTGTTTTATGTTATAAAATGTGTTTTGTGTTAAAAACCCATGGTATTATTCTAAGGTATCGTTTTGCCAATTTACACCCCCCCTCGGCAAGGAACAGATTCCCATTATTCCCAAATAATGTTTGGTGTCATCAGGTTTTTTGATTGGTGTCAAGTGAGATCTCTCTCCCTCTTTCTTTTTTTAAGTCCCGATTTACATTTCCATGAGTACAAATGCAGTTTAATATCTTGTTATATGTTTATTGGTCTGTTGGGTTTACTCTTCTATGATCTGTCTATTTTTGGCCCAATCTTTCCATTGGGTCGTTCTTACTAGATTTACAAGTGCCCACATGAATAAATTGTACGCTGCAATTAATTTAAGCATGGCTTTTGTCAAAACACAACAGGGTTGGTCATTCATGCTTTGTATTAAAGAGCTACAGAACGGTTGACTTAGCTCTTAGTAAATACATTGATTATTTTTACCTCCTCTTCTTTTAGTGTAAATACAAATTACATTAAACACCCTGAGGCCAAGTTAATCACTTCTGCCTCCTTCCTGGATCTCAGCAATTTACATTTATATTAGATTGTTCCTTGGAGGAGAAGTTAGAATGCAAGTATCCCACTTGTACCCCTTGCCCCCTCCACGGTATGTCAGGCATGATAACTCAGCCCATCAAATTTTCAGGGGCAGAATCTGCTTTTCTCTTTCTCCCAAGGGATGCCTTATAAAATCTGTTACCTCTCTTTTAATCAAGCATTCCTGTCTTCCTCACTCACTCATTCATTCTTTCATATATTCATTTTTACACAGATATTTGTTGCATATCTAATACATGTCGGGCACTGGGATTAGTGTTAAGGCTGTAAGAATGAGCTCCTGGAAACTTTCTGTGGCCACCCAGAACTTCCCACTTTGTGGGGTACACAGGCCATCATAATACATTTCGATGAGTGGCGAGAAAGGGGACATGTGGGAGGTCCACCAAACCCAAACCCAAACCTGGACGCACCATGTCCAATTGAGAACTGAGGGGTGAGCCCAAACCAGAGCAATGAAGGTGGTCAAGATACCATTCCAGGCAGAGGGAGCAGCACTGTCAATGTCTGGGAGATGAGAGAGGGCACGCACAGTCCGGGAAGAAAAAGAAGGTCCATTGAGAGTGAATGTCTGGAAGCAGGACTGACATCGCACTGTTTTAGCGCCTTCGAACTTTATTTAAGGAACAGTGGGGAGCTATTGAGGGTTCTAAGTAGGAGAGTGTCATGAATAGATTTGTATTTGAGATAGATCATTACATCTGCTGTGTAGAAAATGGATTTGGGGGGAGCAAGAATGGAGAGAGCAATTGCTGATGGTAGCCTGAACTAGGAGCTGCAGTGGGGATGGACAGAAGTGGACAGACTCAGGAAATATGGAGGGAGTACATCCGAAAGGATCTGGGAACTGGCGGTGAGGAAGAGGGAAAAGGAGGGATCCAGGACAAGAGAGTTGGGTTTTAGGTGGACTTTCTGTTAGATACTGATAGAAGATAGCATCGCATGGCATAGATAAGAGCTGACATAGGGCACAAAAGGGGGAGCACAGCAGGTTTGATGCATATTCTTAAAAGATGCCCCTGGTTGCTCACTGCCTAAACTTAGCAAAGGTGATGAGAAACAGCTTTATTTGTGTATCAACAGAACGTGATGATGGATTTAATGTGTGAAGAGGGAAATGAAGGATGTTTTTGTTTTCTGGCAAAAAAATGTTTTTGTTAACGTGGTCAACAGTGACACCATTTCATGAAACAAGAAAAGGCTGAAAAAGAAGAGGTCTAAGGAAGAAATGAAGGATTGGGTTTAAAAGGACTTTTAATGATCCAAATCACAATGACAAGGAGGAATTTGGATAAACCAGTCTGGAGATGTTAGGGCTTGAGATGAAAGGTGAAGGTGGTCAACATGGTATCTAAAGCAAAGGGACTGCATGAGGTCACCTAGGGAGTGAGTATAGAGAGAAGAGGGTCTGGAACTGAGGTCTGGAGCACTACAATACTTGGAGAGGTTAGGAGGAAAAGGAGGATCCCCAGAGGGGGTAGAGCAAGGGTGTGGGAACAGAGGGAAACTGTCCCAGGGCAAGTCACTAAAGTATCTCTGGGCAGAGGGAGTGATGCTTGAGAACTCATCATTGGGTTTGGGAAGATGGCAGACATTATTTACATAAGCGTTTGAGAACTCATCATTGGGTTTGGGAAGACGGCAGTCATTATTTACATAAGCGAGTGGGTACCGGTAGAAGGGTGGGGAGAAGACCTGTAAAGGAAGTGAAATTGATGATGTGGGGGAGAGATCATTTCAAGGTTCAAGAGCTTTCGTAGGGAAGAAGCCTAGAGAGTGAATCGCACCACAGCAGAGAACAAGGAAGAAAACCGATATTCACAAGAAGCACAGAGAAAGCGGGGCCCCCAAACACATCGGGAAGTGAGCAGAGAGGCAGAAGGTGAACAAGAGAGTAGGGGAGCAGGGAACCAAAAGACGAGAGGGTTTCAAGAGATGGTGCCTGACAGTGTCCAAGGCTGTAGGGAAATAAAGCTGAAGAAAAACTCAGTTGTGCCCAGTGGATTTAGGTGCCAGGAGGTCACTGGGGTCTTTAGACAAAGCAGTGTCTGTGGAGTGATGGGGGCAGGACTCGAACTACAAATAATGTGAGAGAATGGAGATGAGCATATAAGACTGTTTCAAGAATGTGGCTGCGAAGGAAGGAGAATGAGTGCAGCAAGGAAGTGAGGTGCAGGGATTTTTCTCTCTTTTAAGATGGAGAGACTAAGCATGGATAAGTGCCAATGGGAAGAAGTGGGGTGGGGGGAGCGGAGAGGAGAGAGAGAGAGAAAGAGAAAGAGAGAGAGAGAGAGGGAAATATACAGGGGAGAGATGGAATCTTTGAGGGAAGGAGGTCCCTGAGAAGTAAGAGGACAATGTCCAGAGCAGAGGCGATGAATTTCCCTTTATCAGGAGATGGGACATAGTCAGGAGGAAGTTTGACCACGGAGCCCTATTTGACAGTTCGGGGCAGGAAGTGGAGGGATAAACGAGTAATGGAGGGCCGGACTCACCTTTATTTTGAAATAAACCACGATCTTAGTGATGGACGGGGTGGACTCCAGTCTGGCTGATGTGGGCATTTTCTCAGGTGTGTTCTTCTTCTGGATTACTCAGCCAGATGGGGCTAAAAAGCAATCTTGTAGGAGAAGACAGGAATGGGGGCTCAGGTCTGCAGTGGTTGAGCAGGGCTGGTGCAGAAGAAAATGCACCCAGGTGGATAAGGGTTTATCAGGGACTAATGTTTTGCTAGCACCTACGACCTGATATCATGGTCATTTTTGGAGGCTTGTTTTTCACATGGAAACCTAAGTTCCTAGCTTTATAGAATATGAATCAAAATTGAAGAGAAAGCTCCAAAGCATTGAGATCAAAGTGCCCCTTTGTACACACATCTTCAGGAAGCAGGCTTTCAGATTTCCCAATGCACATAATAATTTCTATTTTCATCTTTTAGTGAAAGACACTAATCACAAACCAGATATTCTGGATCCCATCGAGGACACACTGGAAGTAGAACTTGGTAAGGTGGGTTGTGTTATCACCCTTGAATGACATTGTGCTTCTGGGAATAAGTCTAAGTGTGATATAAAGAAAAGAACCTCGGGATTTTTTTTTTTTAAGTATTTTATTTATTTGTCAGAGAGAGAGAGAGCACAAGCAGGGGGAGCAGCAGACAGAAGGATAAGCAGGCTCCCTGCTGAGCAGGGAGCCCGATGCGGGGCTCGATCCCAGGACCCTGGGATCATGACCTGAGCCAAAGGCAGACGCTTAACGACTGAGTCGCCCAGGCATCCCAAAGCTTGGGATTTTAAGTCAAACAGAATTGAGTGTGAATCTTAGCTCAGCCACTGGCTACTTTTGTGATCTTAAGATCATAAGTTATTTATTCTTTCTTAGCTTCAGTTACTTATTCTTTCTAAGCTTCAGGTTTTAAATCTGTAAACAGACAGAAGAAAACTGACCTCATCTGGATGCATCGAGAAATGTAGGATAACATTCGTTAGGTGACTGGTGCAGTGGACATGATCAATAGATTTTAGATTCTTCCTTACTCATCACAGAAATAGCTGGTTATGTATATTAGGTCCATTGGTGAAGTCTGTAAATTTAACCAATTTACCAATATGAATAGCATGAATCTTTGCAAACATGGTGTTTGGTGTGGTCTTTAAGATAATTGTAGAGGAACTACATCCCCTGCTCAAGCAACTCATATTCCCAACTAGTGTCTTTTGGGTAGAGCTGCAGAGTGACTTTCCTCTTGGTCTCCTTGTATTTTATCAACTTCAATAACATCTACATTTTCCCACACAGTAAAATAAGAACTGCTCTATTTAAAACCAAGTGCTGGTTGTTCCAATAAAATAAGTGCTCCTTTAAATGCTAAAATATTTAGAATTACAGAAATGTCAAAATAGATACTATGGTAAAAGACCGCTAGATGGCGGTATCAGTGTGTCCTGATTACAGAAATAGAATTTGCAAAACCAGCAGCATCACAAGAATGCAAGGAAGGAGGAAAGGAAAAAAAAAATTAATAATTCAAAAATAGCCAAGCTACATATGGTTTCAGTGACTTTTAAAGAATTACAGGGCAGAGGGACAGTATTAAGGTGCAAAGACGATTTTTTTAAAGGTGAAAATTTGAGTTTGAGGCAGAGTATATCTGAATACCCCTTATGGAAAAAATGGGTAGAAAGAGGACAGTGTGATAATTTGCATCCCCACAGTAGTGCGTTGCTCAGGAAACTGCTGAATATCTAAATAATTTCTTCTTTAAACTACATTAGAGTAACCTCACAATTTTAATTTAATATGCAAATATTGGTCAGCAGTAAAATGTTCTTTATTGACACACCTTCTACTCAACAGCAGCGTTGGAAGAGCAGGCTGGTCACTGAAGGGACTCCTCATTTTCCTGGTGTCTATCCTTAAACCACATCAGAATTCTTAGTGCTATGACCATATAGTCGCAGGTTTGAGATATAAATATTGCCCACTGGAGACAAACAGACCTGGTCTTACTTGTTTCCAGATGAGAGACAGCTAGATGTTCGGTTATTTTCTGGCACACCTGTTTTTTACCTGCAAACGTGATGGCAGTCATGAACGGTCTTGGCGGGGGGAGTCTTCCTCCTGCACAGGACGAAGTGTTCTCACGGACTTCCTATCTTCTGTGTCGCCTTCATTTTCAGGAAAGCCTTTAACTCTAAACTGCACAGCACGATTTGGCTACCAAAAGAACTTTATGCCTGTAGTAAAATGGTACGTTAAAGATTCTGACCAGGAGTGGGAATTCCCAACATCTGAAGAGATCGGGTAAGAAGGAAATTAGCAGACGATATTCTTTGCCACCCACACTAAATGCTTTAACCTTTGGAAACCTTAAAAATGTGCACCCAGAGGCGAGCCAACAGGCCCAGTTCACAGTGTGGCCATTAGCGCCAACTAGCGGTGACAAGAAGCGCATGGAAATGCAAAGGGCAGGTTCATTTTATTTCATTTTAATTAATTAATTAATTTATTTATTTTTAAAGATTTTATTTATTTTTTAGAGAGCGAGCGAGAGAGAAACAGCATGAGAGGGGAGAGGGTCAGAGGGAGAAGCAGGCTCCCTGCTGACCTGGGAGCCCGATGTGGGACTCGATCCCAGGACCCTGGGATCATGACCTGAGCCGAAGGCAGACGCTTAACCATCTGAGCCACCCAGGCGCCCAGGGCAGGTTCATTTTAAACAGCCCTTTCTGACAGGCCATAAAATATTTAAGTTGTTGTGAAGCTCAGTTTGTATCAACAGTTTGATGGGGCTGCTTTAAACATCAAGCTGACAAGCAGACAGGCATACCGACCCAGGCTGCCTGAATAGAAGTAGCACATCCAACTAACGGGAAAGAATGCTTACCCTCCCAACCCCATTTTTCCCAGTGCCATCCATTTAGAGTAGTGGTGAGTTCAGGGTTCCAAATCTTCAGTCATGAACAATCTGGAATGCACCCAGAGGAAAACGCACATTAATGAGTCTAACCAAAAATATGTGAAGCGATGAATAGTTGAAGCAATCCAAATGGAAAAGGAGATGCCGAGGTGACATATCTGTCTTGAAGTCCTTGGAAGCAATTACGTTTTATGGAAACTAGACTTAGTTTGTTCCCCTCTGGAGCACAGAACCCCGATTAGTGGACAGAATTTACTGGGAAGACATTTTAGCTCAAGAGAAAGGAAAACTCTAGCTATTCAGAGCTAACCAATGCCTCATGAAGCTGGACTCTGGTCCCTGGAAGGATTGAGGGTTTGGATCCAATTGGTCAGGGCTGTCACTAAGAAATAGAGTTCCTTGTTTTTCCAAAATCTGTTCCAAAGTAATAGTGTATGTATTAAGCTCTTCCTTCTGATTCTTAAAACATTTCCATGAACAAATGTACTATCTTGAAAAGTATGCATTACTACAAAAAGAACAAATTTTGATAACAGTAATAGAATTTAGCAAGAACTTCTAAGACAAGGGAAGTCACACAAGCCCTTGGGTTCGAATCTCTGTTTTCCACCTGTTGGCAATGTGACCCTTGACCCCTGCAAGACATCCCACCACCTGTAATCTATGGACACTTATGTCCACTTTGCAAGGTCCCTGTAGGGAGCTGATTCTGTAGAGGTGACATGCTCATCATGGTCCCCGGCCAGTAGGAAGCATTCAGTGAATATGAGTTGGTATTGTAGGCTCCAAGCAACACGGCCTAAAACACCGTCCATCTAGATAATATTCCTTCATGTAAAGACAGACTGTAGATCGGCAACTTTAGAGAACCCAAATAGTGAATAAATACTGAGACTTACAACTCGCTGGATGGGGCGGAATGGCATAGGGCCAGGATTCAGGCTGTCACTTCCAAGCAGAGTGACCTTGGACTGCCACCTACCTTCTGTGCCTGGTCTGCGTTGCTGGCCAAGTCAGGATGATCATACTCTTACCTCTTAGGGACTCCTGTGAGGTGAGGCATGCAGGAGACTCCATAGCCCACAGTAGGTGTTCAAAAGAGTGAGCACAGATACATGGTAAGCCCTTGGTGGAAGTGAGCCACTAGTCAATATTATTCTTAAATTATTGTTATTGTCTGTTTTCAAGGGGAATGCTTAGAGTAATGTAGGCAGATGAGACTCACCATAAATTAAATTCTGGTGTAAATGCATAAAATGATGCCTAGCAGATTCAATAATCAAAAAATGGGCCCCCATCATAAGATGGTCAATCTCAACTTCTTCTGGACACTCCCCTAGCTCTTCTGAAAGCTTAACTGTTGGCTGCTAATATGAATTCCAAATACTGCAAAAGGTGGTCAGTGCATGCTACTGACTGAGTAAAGTATTCATTCTTCTTTCCTAGTGTTAAATCCACCAAAAAGGATAAAGTCATTGCCCGCGTTATCCACTTGAAAGAAGTTACTCAGAGGGAGCTTCACAGGAAGCTTATCTGCTTTGCCCAGAACTCCATCGGGAACACTACCCAGTCCATCCAACTGAAAGAAAAAAAAGGAGGTAAGCCTGGAATGTTGCCACGTCATGCACACAACTGCTTTTATCTGAGAGGAGAGGCATTTTCCTTTAGAATTGTAATGATGATGATAGCAATTAACATTTGTTAGATGCCGGACACTATGCACTTTGCTTGTATTAAACCATTTAATACTTTGACCAAGGGCACATCACTATTAAGTTTCATATCAGTGATCCAGAACTGGTCCTCTTAACTAATACCCTGTGTATGGGTGCTGTGTTGGATAAGCCATTCATTCATTCATTCATTCATTCATTCACTCACTCATTTATTCATTCTACAAATACCTAAAGGGCATGTCCTGTGTAACAGGTATTGTGCTAGGACCTAGCTTCTTTTCAGGGTTTTCTTTTCCTGGCTTCTCAATCCAGAGAACATGATGGTCGGGTATTGCAGAATGGAGAGAAGAGTCCTCTTGCTCATTGCTCAGGGTGGTATGTGTAATATCACAGATCACAGCCTTTTAAAGGTGGAGTGGAAATTCCTGGTAAAGAATAGTTTTGAAATTTCTTTAAGAAGACACTCAATGATGAGCTTGATATCATTCATTCAATTAATAAGTGATTACAAGAGCAAGCAAGTTTTGAATGCTACTGAGGCTTACGTGAGACAAAATTTGTGCTTGGCCATAGTGGATGCTCTGTAATGGGGCTCCTGTCAGGAGAGGTGTGTGGAAGGTCTCATGTGTTAGGTACCGTGGAGGGTACAAAACCAAGCCACGCATTGCTCCTGGCCTCAGGAAGTTTAGACTTTACTGGTGATGATAGTGCATGAAAATAATTTATAATATACAATGAGAGGGATGCAAATGGGTGGTGTGGAGGTTTATGGGGGAAAAATAACTAAAAGTGGCCATGATCAGTTTCCCTGACCACCCCAATCAGGAATGGCCGGTTCCCGTGAACTGTCTCCAATTCATTGTCAGACAGTTCCCACAAGACGTAATTGTATGTATTTCCAGATTCAAGAGAATGCTTCCGAGAGAAGTGCTTTTGATAAAAATAATAGGGTCCGAAAAGGTGCTGGGTGGGCCCACAGCGTTGGTTGGACTGTAGTCTTGTCCCAGGAAAGCTGTCTGTGCATTTGCTCATGGCTGCCATCTTTCCCCCAGCATTGTTCATATACATCCTGCTTGGCACCGTCATGACCCTGGCAGGCGTGCTGATGGTAGCTGTTCTGCTCTACATGTACCGGATTGAAATAGTCCTGCTGTACCGAACCTACTGGAGCAAGGATGAGACGCTCGGGGGTAAGGTGACCCCCAACTTGCCTCTGAATTTTCCTCTCAGAACTGACTTCGAGGAAGAAACTCAAGAAATGGCTGTTCCCTGTTGGAGAAAGTCATGCCCCTCAGCCTTTGAGACCTTCTTCCAGGTCTGGTGGCTTCACACCTGGGAGAGCTGGGAGCAAGTGGATAAACAACTTTTTTTCAGTCCATTTACCCGGAATCTTGCTGACCGACGATGCTGTTGTAGATAGAGCATGTTGGGCTCGAACATAATCTTGCTGTTCACCAACCTAACGCAATATGACAAATGACGTAACGTCTCCTTAGTTTCCTCTCCTGTAAAATGGGATTGTAATCACAATCACAACGAATGCTCTGAGGACTCATTGAGTTAGGACATATTAATCATTTAGAACAGCATCTAGCACGTAGCAAACACTCAGTAGAAGCCAACTGTTATTATCTCTTGAGTACTGAGGGCATGCGAGTCAGGTGTATTAACGGCTTCAACTGTCACAGCGATCCTGCAAGCCTGGCAGAGGGACATGAAGTCATGGGCCCAAAACTGAACTGCAAGATAGTGCTAGACTTGAGGATTTGGACCCAGGCGGTTTGGCTTAGAGCCCCCATAAGCTATTACCTCGGTTAGTCTCATCTATAAAACGAGGGGCTTTGAAGATGGTGGCAGTGTTTGAAAAGTGTTGAAATTCTATAAAATCCAAGTACTATTACAATGAATGAAGTTATCTGCCCACTTCCGCAGGAGATGGGATCATAGTGCTTATTGGTGTTTGCTTCTTTAGAATAGAAGAGCTGGTTTGAGTGTTTTTCTAGCCCCGGAGGTCCCTAAGATGAGAAAGTTTGCAGTTCTGCTTGGAGAGGGCAGGATCCCTTCTGCCGGATTCCGGGGCTAATTACTTCCCACGCCAGTGCTTGCCCCACACTGGGAACACAGTGAGGAGCTGTCAGATCTATAGGAAAAGGACAAGTCAATCGTATCTTTCTTTAGACTAATAATTGAGAATTCATGCAAGCAGTCCTTAAGCCAAGAGTGTTTTTTTAGATTTATTTCTTTAAATTAGCTTCTTAGCTTTTACGAGTTGAGCAAGTGATTTAACCAATGTCATAATCATTCCCCTAGATGACTTACGCTTTTTTGTTTTTTTACTGAAATGATATTTATCTTAAGATTCTAGAGCTTGTACAGACGAGCCAATCAACCGTGAAACTTTTAAATCGCTCTTTTTACTTTGCACAGACAGTAACCTGATGAGGAGGCAGAACCTGGTTTTAAAGCACAGTGATTCGGTGCTCTTCTGTGGCCAATCTAGTGTTTTATAGCAAAATGTCTGTTTCCTGTGAAGTTAATGCTGAATATCCGAAATTTTGGAGAGACATAGACGGGCGGAGTTGCAAAGGACCTAGGAGAGTTCTAATACTCCCACTGGCTAATTTTATTACCAAAGAAATTTAATGTTTCCAGATTATAGAAAAAGCCAAGCTCGCTGGAGTTTCACAGGGATATGGAAGGAATGGAGGTAACTAGGGTGTGTGTCACACATTTAAACCACATAGCCCTTCCCTGCTGGCCGTGCCCCACGAGCCTCCTCCTTCCCACCGGGGCAGTGAGGAACTTTGCACTTGAGCCTCCCGGGCCTCGATTCTTCGGCATCCCCCTTTCTTGTCTCCTGGACCTCCCCCGCTCCCTCTTCTTTTTTCTACTGCTGGCATTTCCATCCACCAGGGCCTCTCCTTATGTCCACGTTCAGCAACTGTAGTGCCGATTGCATTAGCCCCCTGGGCTCTTGCTTGCTATTGTAACACTGCTATTTGCCAGTCATTGTGCAAAGGACTGGAATATGACTCGGGTATGTCCGGATGCCAATGTCCATGAGTTAACTTTTGAGATTCTCTCCCTGTCTTGCTTGGCTAGTTATGTAGCACATCCCAGTACTCAATGTGCATTTGTAATCATCCGCTCAACAGAGGCACATGAGACTTTACGAATAGCCTGAGATGAGCTTCATAAATATGATTTCCCATCCAGAAATCAGGGGAAAAAGATATTTATCTTGTGAGCCTGCTGTGAGCCAGACACCACGCACTTTATATACATTGTATCACGCAACCCTGAAAACTGTCCACCAGGGAGTTCTTATTACAGCATTTTACACATGGCGATTCTAATATAGGTACATGCGCCGTCAACTTTATCCTCTGCAAGGTGCTGGGTCTTGGCAATGCTTTGCTCTCTGGATGTTACCACGCTTTGATGGAACAGACTCTTCTTTGATGTGTAACGCAGGAGATAGCAACAGCGCAGTGCAAAGAAAACTCAGAAGAACCCCCGGGTACGTGTGATTTAATCACAGAAGTCACAGCTGTTTGATCTGACCTCAGTGAAAAGGCAGGAGTGCGTCATAAATTAGAATTTGAATCCGGTTGGACGGTCGACACCACTTAGCAGTGTGATTCTGAAATGGACACAGCTGCTGCTTTTTATTGTTAAATCAATGCAGTAAGGAGCCCAACACTTAATTCTTGCCCATATGTCGTAGGATACAAGGCCCATGTATGTAAAACATATGTAAATGGTTGACTTTTTTTTTTTATTGTTTCTCTTCCTCAGATAAAAAGGTATTTGATGCTTTCGTATCCTATGCGAAACGGAGCTCTTTTGAGAGTGAGGCCGCTTTATCTCCGAGTGAGGAATACCTGGCTCTGAATCTCTTCCCTGAAGTTTTGGAAAACAAATACGGATACAACTTGTGTTTGCTCGAAAGAGATGTGGCCCCCGGAGGAGGTAGGTCCTGCATGCCAAGAGAAGATCTAGAACAAAAAGGACAGTTGAATACAAGCACTCTCTGGGCTTTCCCGTCATTCCTTCTGTTGGGATATACCTCTTCTGGAAAGTTCCATGAGCTTAGAATATGTTGGACCACAGCACAGGAGAATATGTGCTGCAGAGACATGTTCTGTCATCCAAAAAAAAAAAAAAATCCATCTTCAGAAAAAAATTATTAGGCCCTAGGCAGGCCTTCCTGAACAAAGATAGGATTCCTGGCTCCTCCGTAGGAAGTCATCTCTGTCATCCCAAACAGATGGCCCCACCCCTCAGCATTGGATAAGGCCGGGCACAATGGCCACTCATCAAATGTGCAGATCTCATTCTGTCCCCCCCTTCCCCTGCCCCAGGCACCTCACCAGGGAGCCTGGGGCATTCCATGCCCCACTGTTATCCCAGCCTGCCTTGTGCCAACAAGCTGGGCTCCTAGAGGAATTGAGAGTTTGAGGACACGGAACACAAAGAGAGGAATGTGAAGTTGGGAGTCACCGGACACCAGAGTATATCTTCACCTGTCAGGAGCGTTGATAACAGCAAAAGCAGCATAGCGAACATGCTTCCCTTCCTCCTTCCCCAAGAGTGCCTTTGCAAGGAACCCTCTGGGTAGATCTGGGAGATTCGGAGATTCGGGGTTATTGAGACTCCAGGTTTAGCAATAACAGTTCCTTAAATTCTTTATTTCCAGTGTATGCCGAAGACATTGTGAACGTGATTAAGAAAAGTCGAAGAGGAATATTTATCCTGAGCCCCAACTATGTCAATGGACCTAGTATCTTTGAACTACAAGCTGCAGTGAATCTGGCCTTGGATGATCAAACACTGAAACTAATTTTAATTAAGTTCTGCTCCTTCCAAGAGCCAGAGTCTCTACCTCATCTTGTGAAAAGAGCTCTCCGGGTTTTGCCCACAGTCACTTGGAGAAACTTAAAATCAGTCCCTCCCAATTCCAGGTTCTGGACTCAGATGCGCTACCATATGCCAGTGAAAACCTCTAAAGAATTGCGGTGGAGCCATCTCAGAAGTATCCCCGAATTGTTTCACTGGAAATGACTCAGTAAAACAGAAACCACTGGGAGGAGCTCCCAGCCTAGGGAACGGTGAACCCTGAACCACCTCCTCCCCGCCCCTGGTGAGTAGAGATGTGGATGTGAGTGGAGATCCACACAGCACGGATCGAGTTGCTATAAGATGGGAAGTGTTTTGTCGACTCTGAGCAAGCCTGACAGGCCCTAGAATGACCCTGAAGCTCTGGTAGAGCCTCTGATAGCCTCTGGACCGAGGAAGAGTAAATTCTCCGGATGCTCACACACATTCAACACACAATGAGCCTCAGACTTTCCGAGCGGTCTGAGCAGAATTGGCAGATAGAATCACTTTTGCTTTGTGGCTATCGACTACCATGTCTGCTATTTATTATACATATAAATTTGTATATATTTGCAATCAAATAAATATTATTTTATTCGAAGTGACTGATTTAAACTTTGCCTAAAGCTTCTCTGTAAACAACAACAACAATACTTACTCCATGTTCACCCATTAACTCTGGAGCACAGAAAGTAAGTGGGAAAGGCAGAAACCAGGGGGGACAAGGGGCAGACAGGGCCACCGTCAATCTCTACTCTGTCCTTGAGGGCAGTGTCCTCTCTGAGCAGATGAAATAGAGGAGGAGGCTTTCCTGTGGGGGGTGGGGCACGGGGGGGCCGGAAAGGGGGGAAGCCTTGTGCCAGACACAAGGCTAGGGGAGCAGAGTAGGGCTAACTTCAGCTCCTCCTTGTCCCCTTGGCCATTGGGTAGGACATGACATACACAACCTTACTCTGGGCCACTGGTAGTAGAGACCAAGTAGGTCATAATGATCAGGCCAATGAGGAGACAAGGAACAGCCTAGCACTTATAAAGTAGAAAGGCAGTAGCAGCCAAGGTATGAGTTTGGGAAGTAAATGTATACACTGGTTAAAAGACAGCAAGAATGGAGCTTGAACGGAGCTTTGGTCTGAGCTGTTTGCCTGTCGAGGCTGGCACTCCTTGTATGTGCTTCCTGACCTACTGATCTCAGCTGAGTCCTGAGTAACAGGGTGATTTGCTAGAGCACCCAGTAGTTGTCCTGATAGACAAGGCCGATCTCATTCTTGTAAGTTGGTTTTCCTTAGGGGAGTTCAATCTATAGTTATAAGAGTGTTCTGGTCCCAGAGGACTCTAAAATCTTCACACTCTGCCATCCCTGTCTGAATGGAATGATTCATCTGAGCCATAAAGACAGGCAACTTCTGGACTCATTCAAATGTAATGTGTCCCATTCACTGGTCCGAATGCCATCCACGTTCAGAATGGCAAAAAGGCATCCTCATCTGGCCACCGCTTGGAGCCTGTATGAAATGCTCTTGAGTGGTTTTTCCACAGAGGCTCCCACATCAGAAAAACCACTGTGGCTCTGGCACCAAGCGACATCCTTGTTGGGAATTTCAGTGATGAAGTTAAAGATGAGTTAAAGGGTATAAATTATTCCTGGAGGAAGTTTCTTGTGGGAAGGCTCATTGCAGGGTGTCGGTGGGGAAGCATCCACACTGCCATTGTGCCCTTGTGCTACGGCAATGGCCAGAACCTCTGCTTTTCCTGCCAGCTCCTCCCTGAGCTCTAAGACTCAGAAACCTCTTTGGGCCAGTTGACCCAGGTTTATTTTATTCTAAAATAAATTTTGCTAAAACTGATCTATCCAGTGGTCTAGAGTTTTGTCCTTAGCTTAACAGAAACTCACACTGAGCCTCAGGTTTGTACATACTCAGAAAAGGGGGCTGGGGGAGGTCTATCTAAGCCAACATTTACGGAATATATTCTTGCCAGGTTGACAGAAACACTGAAGATGACAAATCAGCATTAGGGACAAAGGTTGATTTACACTTCTTACATGCAAATCAACCAAAACAAAGTGGACAACTGAAACAAACTGTCTATATATAGGATGTCTCCTATATATGGTAATTAAACAGTTGAACTCAGTGGAATACAATGAGAAAAGAGTATACTTTTCCCACTTCACTTTCTAGATAAGGTGACCATATGTTCTGGTTTTCTGGTATACACCTGCTGTCTAACTATAATATCTCACTCTGAAAACATGCTCTACTTTGGATGATTGTCACTCTGCCTCTGACACACACTGGAAGGTACTCCTTACTAACTGTGGATGATACCTCAGGCAAATCTCACAACCATCCTGGGGTCTTCTGGGGTTTAATACCTACATTTTCTATCTCTGTTATTTCCAGATTACAGTTCCAGGTAAGATGGAGTAAATACACACCACCCTATCTTTCCCACTCTTTGCAACTATAAAATCTGAATAAAATGCTTAGAAAATCAGTTTGAGGATTTTGAAATGTAAATCAAAGCAGAATGACTGGAGAGAACAAGAATTCAAAGTTTCATGATTTTACTTTCCTCTGATATCCCTTGGCTTGGACTCAACACAGTCTGAAACCCAAAAGTGGATATTGGTAATAACAGAGAGTTCCAGAAGAAGCCCTCTCGTTTCACCATGAAGACTGGGGAAGGAGTTTTCTAACACTCTTGTGTTCTTTTACTTCCCAGCCTCTAGGGAATTCTGCAAAAGCAGAGGCAAGAGGGCCCTCAAGAGCCTCCATCTCTGTGGAAGGAGAATTGTCCACTTTGATACAAGAAGCTGTAGTCCCTAGAGAGTGTGGCAAACGTCTTTTGATTGTTTTTTTGGTTTCTCTGTCCTCTTAACATTTAGGTGTGGAGATAGAAGCAGTTGGAGAAGTGCACTGTAGGGTATATAAACACCAACACTCTAGCCAGAGAACTGCAAAAAAGAGGTTAGGAGGCCTCTAGAACCAGAAAGTACCATGGGGATTGCAGACAGAAAGGACCCCAGGAAAGCAAACCCATGAAGTTGCTTGCAAACTCCTGGGCTCATCCCTAAGCTACATATGCATGAATCTGGCCCAAAATAGAATACTATAAATTTTGAGAATTGAACTATAGGATAGACCACTTCCAGAGTTCCAGACTGACCACTGAAAGGTGTATATATGGAATAAATCTAAATAGAACTAAAAGACAGTGAAATAGAACTGACATTGAAACCATAAGGCTGTTAGAATTTGGGGCTTGAATCCAACTGGGTCAAGTACTTGCTAAACAAAAATAGCATTCTACATAGGATTTCAATAAGATCCAAAGTTGCATAACATAATATTTAAAATGTTCAGGACACAATCCACTGAAAGCAAAAAATTACATTTTCTGATAGGGTTTTCAATGTAGGTAGATATAACATATAAGTTAACTACAACATAAAAGAGAGAGGGTAGGGGAACTTATGTGGTGGTAAGGTATCTACATATCACTTGAAGTGGTAAAATATTGATTTTAAATAGAAAGTGAAAACATAAGTATGTTATATTTTAATGCCTTGGGCAACCACTAAAACAAAGAAAAAACAAATTTAAACAAAAATAGAATAATGAAATTGTTTAATTTCCCCCCAAAAGAGGGACGGAAAAGGAAAACAGGAATAAAAAACTGAGAAAGCAAAGAGAAATCAAGTAATAAAATGGTAGACATAAATCTAAACATATCAATAATTATATTAAATGTAAAATGTATAAACATAGCTATTAAAAGGCCAAGGTTATTAGAACACATTTTTTTAAAAAATGACCCAACTATATTCCCTCTACAATAAACACATATCAAATATAATGATATAGGTAGGCTGAAAGTAAAAGTTAGATATAAATATATTATATGATTATTAATTAAGGGAAAGTTGGAGTGCCTGTATTAACATCAGCTTAAGTAGACTTCAGAGCCAAGAAAATTACTGGGATAAAGACAATATCATATGATGATTAAAAGGATAAATTTGCTAAAAAGATGTAACAATCTTAAATGTGTATGCACATAACAACAGAGATTCAAAATACGCCAAGTAAAAACTGACAACTAAAAGAAGAAATAGATAAATCCACGCTTGTACTTGGAGCCTTTAATATTCTCCCCTCAGGTACTGATAAAACTAGTAAACAGAACTTAAGCAAGGACAGAGAACTGAACAATACCCTTTCATTGGAATTTCTGGATCTATTTGACAATTATAGCAGAACACTCAACAACAGCAGAATACATGTTATTTTGATGTACATATAGGATGTTTTCCATAATAGACTATATCCTAAGTCATAAAGCAAACATTACCAAAAATAAAAGAATTATACAAAATATGTTCTCTATAATGGATTTAAACTAGAAATTAATGACAGAATGTGACAGGAAAAAATCTCAAAATACTTGGAAATTAAACAACACATTTCTAAATAATCCCTGGCTAAAACAGGAAGTCTCAAATTAAATAGTATTTTCAAATGAACGAAAATGCAATATATCAAAATTTGCAGGATGAGGCCAAAATTGTGCTTAGGGGAAAATTTAAAGTGTTAAGTGCTTATATTAGAAAAGGAAAATGTCTCAAATTAATAATCTAAATTTCCACTTTAGCAAGAAGAAGGAGGAAATAATAAAGGTAAGAGTACAAAATGATTATATTCATTATACTGAATACAGGAAAACAACAGAGAAAATTAACAACACCAAAAGCTGGATCTTTGAAAAGATCAAAAAATTGATAAATCCCTAGCAACACTGATCAAGAAAAAAAGAAAGAAGACACAAATTACCAATATTAGGGGCGACTGGGTGGCTCAGTTGGTTAAGTGTCTGCCTTCAGCTCAGGTCATGATCCCAGGGTCCTGAGATCGAGCCCTGCGTTGCGCTCCCTGCTTAGTGGGAAGCCTGCTTCTCCCTCTCCCTCTGCCTCTCCCTCTGCTTGTGCTCTCTCTCTCTGTCAAATAAATAAATAAAATCTTTTTTAAAGAATTATCAAAGTCAAGAATGAAATAAATGGCAACACTACAGACCCTGCACATCTTAAGGGGTTAAGAAGAGAATACTATGGATAACTATATGGATACGTATTGGGCAACCTAAATGAAATGAACAAATTCTAAAAAACCCCCCAAAACCCAAGCTATCAAAACATATCCAAGATGAAATAGAAAAACGGAATTGCACGTAACTATTAAATAAATTGAATTTGTAGTTTAAAATTTCCAAAAGCAAAATCTCCAGAACCAGATGTTTTCACTGCCTAATTCTACCAAACATTTAAAGAGGAAAAAAACCCTCCATCAATTTTACACAATTTCTTCCAGAAAATAGAAGATGAAGGAACATTTCTTTTCTTTCTTTCTTTTTTTTTTTTTTTTTAAGATTTTATTTATTTGCGAGAGAGACAATGAGAGACAGAGAGCATGAGAGGGAGGAGGGTCAGAGGGAGAAGCAGACTCCCTGCTGAGCAGGGAGCCTGATGTGGGACTCGATCCTGGGACTCCAGGATCATGACCTGAGCCGAAGGCAGTCACTTAACCAACTGAGCCACCCAGACGCCCGTGAAGGAACATTTCCAAAGTTATTTTATGTGGTCAGAGCCTTCCTAATACCAAAACCAAAGCATTAGAAAATTACCAACAAAAATTCTTTATGAACACTGACACAAAAAAATATTCAAGAAAATATTAGCAAATTGAAAA